AAAATAATGCAGCACTGGATGGAGTGAATGCGTGCTGTAATCAAAGCTAAAGGCGGTCCAACAAAATATTAGTGTGACCTTTTATTTTGGTGGCGACTTTTTTTGGGGCCAGGCAGTGTAAAATAAAGTATTGACAAGTAGTTTAAACAACTATAAGTATATAGCTTTAGCTGAGTATCCACCCACTGAAAATATAACAAACAAAATCTTGAAATTATTCACACAATTGTTCAAGCAGTAGCCGTAAGGCTGACATAATAAGTTTCTCAATTACCAGCCGAGTAAAACGTTTATTTCTAACCTTCATGACTCTTAACAACAACAATCTGAACTCTTTTATTCTTTCAATAAATTAATTTTAAATTGAGTTTTTGATTTTTTGAGTTTAATGTTTACATTTTAGTTTATAAAAGTTATTTTTAGTCACCGTTTGTACCTTTTTAATACAATTTATCTTGTGAAAGCATAAAAGCTAGCAGGTAACCTCCTTATGTTTAGACCAACTTCAAAACAAGTGACAGATAGTTTGATTTGGAAATGAAATACTGAAGCAAATATCAGTGGAGTACATTTTAATAAATCATCTCTGTGTACTTGTGCTGCTCTAATTCTTTGCTCCAAGTAAATTATTTAATGTAAAATTTTAATTGTGCAAATAAAAATTAAACTACTTGCATTTTTCTTGCAATATAAATTGGATATTTGCTGCATTTCTTGGATATAACTCTGAGGAGATAAAAGCAGTCGTGAGCCATTTCTATATGTTTTTGGACTGAGATGTATTAATTTCCTGTAAACGGAGCGCTGACATTTAAATCTGAGCTTGAGCGAAGGCACATCTTCCTCATAATGGTGCAGGAACAGCTGGTGTGGACTTCTTTTGTTGGTGTTATTATGTTGGCGCTCAGAGCCACGGAGTGAGACACACAAAATTACAGACGGTAAACACACACACCATCTGCTTCAGAGCTGTCATCTGTGACACACAGGGCTGAACAATTGTTTTTCATTATCACTGTTCATTTTTCAAAGATGCAACATTACTTCGTTTTCAGTCGTATTTCTTTCTATTCAGCCTTCCAGTTTAATCCAATTATTTTGTAAGAAATGGAGCCAATGGTCAAATTACCTGCTTGCGGTGCTGCGAATGGCTCATTGACGGCTTATTCAGTTAAAAGTGACAAGATCGCAGTTCACACCTGGAATGAACCAGCTCCATAATATGTAATTGATAAGTTAATTTCATATTCTACCCTCAGGAGCACTTAGCCTTTCTTTCTACACTCCTCTTAAACCAAAACTCTTTCCACGGGTGCCCCCAAGCTCTGGAACGGTCTCATCTGAGGTTATTTCCTGTCACATGAGTGACTATTTCAAATTAACTTTCAACATTCATTCAGCTTTTAGTTCAGCCTCAGACACCCTTGTGCTTTTTATCAACTCTACTTTCAGTTTAGTTGTAGGATACTTTTATTTGGGGTTAGGAAAGTTTTAACATTGTTTTCTTTGATGGCAAATTTCTTGAGTCACTTTTGTTGTTTTATATTAAATATGGCTTACTGTAAAGCCAATCTTTTTAAATCTAATATAGGTTTTTTTACCCTCTCACAACATGTTTCTGAAACTCATTTAGATCATTTTCAGAGGTCCTGAGCAACAAAGGCTAACCAACTTAACCAGTATCTTCTATATAAGATAACTTTCTTTCGTCTGCTCCCTTCTCAAGGGGTCACAGCGAGTGGCATGTAAGATTTGGCAATTGTTTTATGCCAGATGCCCTTCCTGATGCAACCTGGGCTTGAACCTGCAACCTCAAGGTTATAAGACCACAGCACTGACCACTGAGCTATTGATGTCATTATTTCAACTTTATTTTCAGATACAATTGTGGATTCTAGCTGTTGGAAATTAAGAAAATCTAATGAAACAAAAAGCATGCTACTCGATTTTATTTTGAGACCCGTATTGTGGCTTTTTTAATACCAGAAACACAGAAACTTTAGTTTCAGCTTGGATTACGTTATTAGCCAAAACGCTTCTTATAGAATACATTGTCACCTCTACTAATTTGTTAAATGGCCTTCTCTACATACTCGTCATGAAATTCATTGGTTTACCCTCATTTATAAGCTGTTGCTGGTTATTCACCTCCATATTTAACTCCTCTACTGCAACTAGCCCCAGTTTCGAAGTATAACACTCGATCCTCCCAGTATTTGTGTTTAACAACTCTAAAGACCAAGTCTGGCTTTGGCTCTGCCGCTCCGTCTGACTGGAATCTGCTTCAAGAAATTTTGGGTCTGGCCTCACTTATCTCAGTTTCCAGTAAAAAAAAAAAAAAAAACAGTTTAAAGCCGTTTTCAAACATACAGTAGTCCCTCGTTTATCGCAGGGGTTTGATGCAACCAAGAGGCCAAAAAAGTCTTTTTCATTGTTTTCATGATCGAACACTGACAGGAGCGTCAATCTACAGCACTAATCATCTTTTCCTCACAGATATTTTAAAGTGTAGACTGAACCCAGAGGAGAAATTAAAATGTCTGCAATGGAACCAGCCATAAGTGACAGGATTGAACATAATTAAGGAAAGGGTGGCAATGATGCTTTCATTTTATCTTATCTTGTCCAATTCATTATAATATCATTAGTTTTAAATGATGCTTTCATGCCCCCTTCAGCCATATTAATACCATTTAATGCATGGCCAGCTGGAGACATTAAGATGCAAGTATGAACACATACCAAATTAAATCGGTTTTAACATATGTGTTATAATTCCCATTTCTGTCTTCTTGCAAAATGCATTTTTCATGAAGAAAGACCATCAAAAGAACAGTTGATGTTCTGAGTGTTATCCCAGCATTCACACAGACCCAATATTTAATGCATGATTTATTTATTTTTTTCTTTTATAGTGCAGAAAATTGTAAATGCATTGAAACGCTGATCAGTGACAGAGTGGCCTTCTATTATTTTGTCATTTCTCTCATAAAGCAGCAGTAGCAGAGAATATGCTGCATTGTGAAGTTTACAGATGCTTTCAAGTTTTTCTTTCCTTCTTGTTTCACAAACTTTTTTTCTTTTGTTTCCTTGAAATTACAGTCTTTTCCAACAATAAATCAAAAACTGAATTCAGTTGTTTTCAGTGTCTTCGGGGATTTTTTTTTTATTGTTGAACATTAAAAAGTGCATGCAGAACAATGTGTTAGTACCTTATTATTACCCACTACTGAACACAAAGGTGGTAATGTTTTTGCTCGTGTGTGTGTGTGTGTGTGTGTGTGTGTGTGTATGTGTATAACTGAAGTCATCATCAGCACTAACAGATCACATAAGATCTCACAATAATGTTTGAAACTGCAGCTAGACCTCCATCTCGTCTCAACTTAAAAAGATTTCAGTTTAAAACTGTCATTAAAGGCAGTCATTGATATGCGTTCTTTTTTTTTTCCTGCTTGCTCTCGACGAAGGCGGACGCTTTTCCCTCCCGCTTCCCTCCTGCGTCTGCTCTTTGTCCTGTGAACCTTATCGGAGCCTCTCTTTACACATCTTCCAAATTGTAAATTATGGGTCTGGTCAGCTGGTCTCTCAACGCAATTGATAAAATTTTCTCAACGAGAAGACAGGGCGAAGGAGAGCCCTCTTGCCCTGACAGGACACTTGCAGCTGGATACACGATGGATTCCTGGGGACAGTGGAAGATTGTGTCTGTCAATATTGTCAATTGAGGATGTAGAATTGGATTGGAATTAGAATTGGATTTATGATGACAGGATTTCTGCTTTTTTGAGTTGGCGGTTACTTGGCATATCGACAAATGTGAAAAACGTTGTCAGCTGTTCTGGCCATTGTGAAGCTGCCTGGCTTGTGTGATGGAATGTGCCGTGCGTTGACCACTCCGACTCAGATGCTGTGTGAACTGAGCTGTAAGCTGGACACTATTTCTGAGAATCGCAGGCCATTTCCAGCTCTTGAAACTCACTGGCGAGAAGGAATCGACCTTGGAGAAGCTACAAGCTCGGTCCGGCGGTGTTGACCACAAATTTTGGCTGTTTGGAGTTGCCATTGAGATACCATAACATACCACTTTATTTATAAAGCACTTAAAACAACAACAAGGCCAACCAAAGTGCTGTACAGACAAAACAACAGGTAACACACAAAGCAAAATACAAAATGAGGTAAATCAGAATATAGACCAAAACTGATGCCGATAATGACGACAAACCAGTGTAGAGCAGAGATGTACTAGTAGAACTACAGTATAAAGCAGACAGAAAGTCAAGCAGAGTCGGCCTGACCTAAGATAACTGTTATCTGAATCTGGCTCACCCTTTCGGCTTTGAATTGACCAACTATTCCAAACTCTCGGATGTTATGTGAACAAGAAGCTCTGCCCCCCCTCCTCTACCCGCTCCCTTCCCAAGGACATCTGTGGACCTGTATCAGAGCTGAGCTGGTTGATAGACACTGCACCATCTCTTATCAGGACTATGGGGACTATCTGGCAGTGTCCATGGACAAACTCACTGCCTTGGTTGGCCTCCTCATGCATTTGTATTATAATGTTAATATGTTGCTATTTCTGTGCTGTTTTTTTTTGTTTGTTTTGCAACTTTCTCCCTGTGTCCCATCTAGAACACAGTGTGAGATATAATTTTTTTACACCTCTTCCCCCATGTTTTTCTTTTTTATCTAAATGAAAAGGGCAACGCCTCCCACAAGGCTGCAGCCTCAGATACCTCCATCTCCCCATGTCTGTTGGTGTTTTTACTTGGACGGGCTGTTCTGAAATGTAATTTCATTGTGCTTCGGTGCAATGACAATAAAGCTGATTCTGATTGAAGGGATGCTAGCCCTGCTCATCAGTTTGAATATGTATTTTATGAATGGCGCTTAATACATTTTTCATCATTTAAACCAGCCTTATGTAAATGCCAGTAAATATGCTGAAAGTACAGATTAAATGGATATCATCTCCTGTTTTTTGTTATCTTCAGGTGGAGGGAGCAGCATATACTGGTTCATTCGTATGGAAATCTCAGAGTGTTGGTCTGTGGAGCCGCGGCAGAGGAGAGAACATGTTGGACAGTGGAGCACCTTTCTACGACACCTACAAGACTTTGGATGGAAAATACATGGCTGTGGGCGCCATCGAACCGCAATTCTACAAACAGCTACTTAAAGGTTTGTAGCCTGGACAATACTTCAAATCACACCTATTGTCTTGCTTCCAAAAAACAAGATTTGCTTTGTAATCTTTTAAAGTGGTCTTGATTGCTATTTCTTTAGACTTCCTGGAGGTCTTTCAGATATTTTTTCCTCTTTGGCTGATTTTTCACTCATTTTGGTCCATTTCTGGTTACCTGAACATGATGGCTTTTTGTGCAGTGTGTGCTTAAAAAATAAGTAAAGTGAATAAAATGAAAAACAAAAGTACTATCAAGCCTAAAAACAAAACAAAAAAAACAAACAGATAAAGTTTATCGGAGTCATGTCCTGAAGAAGGAGATAAAACTGGAGCAATGACCTGACACAGGACCTGGGAGAGAAATCATCATTCAGTTAATTTTCTGCAGTGGTGCCCAAATGTTTCAGATTTGCCCCCCCCCACCACACCCCACCACACACACACACACACAAAAAAAACATTGTTGGATACTTGAAACTCCAGTAATCTTTACACAAAGTTTAAAAGCATTTAAAGTAAGAAAATTAGATGGGAGCCTAATAATAGTCTCAGCAGTTATAGATGGTATTGTCTTCATGTGTGGCCACAGTTTTTCTCTCGTGACAGTTATGGTAAAAATGGGCTATAAGCAATAATTAAATATATAATTGAATTTATGGTAATTCTCTCAAGACCCCAAGCGTTGGGTCCTGACCCTAACTTATGGAACCACTGATCAACTATATGTCAAGTTTTCAGCTAAAAGCTCTATAGGAATTACCTTGTTGGTCTAAAAATACAATTTTTCTTTAATTTAAGCTCTGTTGTTCATGGCAAATTTTATAAATTCAACTAAAGAAATGGAAACAATTTGTGCTTTTGTGACTTCTGGTAACAATGTACCTAAATTGGTACATTAGTGTCACAGTGCTGGTTTATCCCTTGAGTTTAGGATCCATTTATTGACTTAATGATTCATAGGCCAGAGTTTACGGCTCAAAAAACAATAAATAAAATCGTCTGAAATTTGTAAATGGCAGTGGCAGAGAAAGCCCCCGCATGCACGGAGAGAACATTCAAACTTCACACAGAAATGTCCAAGCTCTAAACACTTTGCAGAGCTTCTCTTTGTTGGCACTAAATACACTTGAGCTAAGCTTGACGGTTTTTCAATTACCATTGACGACTCAATGGTGCGTCTCTCAACTCAGGTTAAGAGTCTGGGTGTCGTCCTCGACAGCACTTTATCATTTTAAGTGCACGTCAACGAAACATCTGAAACGTTCACTGCCTCTGCTCGTCCCTCGCACCAAGCAGTAAGCTGCTTACCGTAGTCGTTTCCCATCTGGATTACTGCAACACTTTTCTCTTTGGTTCTTCCACAATAATTTGGTTCTTCATAAATTTGATTTGGTCCAGATCTCTGCTGCATGTATTATAACTAGAACCCCCTCCTTTAACTACTTCACTCATGTTCTTTAGCAGCTTAAGTGGTTAAATTTTGCACTGATTATTAAATTCTGCTTCTCACTTTTAGGCCATTCACCATCTAACTCGGTATCTTTCTGATCTTTTACATGTCACCACACCTACATGTTCTCTTAAGTCTTTATCCTCCATTAATCTCGCTGTGCTCGTCTGGTCACCATGAGGGTTCGAGCTTTCAGCTTCTGGAATTCCCTTCCTCCTGACACTTGTAACTCAGACTCGCTCTCCATTTCTACCTGAAAACACCTGTTCTGACCGAACTACACGCACTGATCATTTTCAGCTTTTGTTGGTTTGGAATTTTTGTTTTGAAATGTTTTATATATATATATTTCTTTATTTCTATAAGTGTTAGGGAAGTTATGTTAAGGTCTTGGATGTTTTCACTTACTAATGTTAAATTAATATAGAACCATGCATGTGAAACCAAGAGAGTCTTTCCGTCGACTCGGAGAGGAGTCTGATAACTGATAAACTCTGACGCCTTCAACAACTGTGAGCTGTGAAGCAGAGGTCGTGTCTTGACCTCGTCTCTGTCTGATAACGTGTATTTAAGCTTTTCCTAACTCTTTGTCTGTGGGCAGACGTTGAACCGGAGCATCATGTAACATCTTGTATGCCTGTGTGTTAATCCTCCCCCCTTGAAAGGAGTAAACTAGTTTGAACAAATCTTCTCGGATCCTTCTGTGTGGCTTATTTGACTAATGAGAGGATGACAGGATAATTACATTATGAAATAAATTATCAAACAATATGCTTAGTTTTTTCTATTGTATTTGATTTTATATGGATCTGTGTGTGCAGTATTTTGAAAAGGACATATAAATGTATTACTATTATTATTAAGAAAAATGCACAAATGTATATGTCTGAATTTACAGAATTATAAAATTGCTTTGGCCTTTAATATTCATAATATTTCTACTGAAACAAATTCACTTTTGTGGTGATTTCTTCTTTCAGATATTTTTTTCATATTTCTGTGTTTTACATCATTTTCCGAATCATTTTTTCTTTCTTCTTTATTGGCTTACATCAGTTTATCGTTTTGCTTCCTTCCCAGGCTTGGAGCTGGACGCTGGAGAGTTGCCTCCTCAGATGAGCTTCAGCGATTGGCCAGAGCTCAGGCAGATCTTCACCGAGCGTTTCGCCTCAAAGACCCAGACGGACTGGTCGAGGATTTTTGATGGGACTGATGCCTGCGTCACACCTGTGTTGTCTTTTGACCAGGTGAGCTCACACCCTCACAACCAAGAAAGATGCTCTTTCATGAAGAACTCCAGCGGAGAAGAGTTCCCCCGACCGGCTCCGATTCTGTCTCGGACTCCTGCCGAGCCTTGCCTCACTTCCGATCCTGCTGTCGGTGAACACACGGTCGAGGTCCTGCAGGAATACGACTTTACTTCTGCAGAGATAGACGAGATGTTGTCGGCTGGGGTTGTAGAGTGCAATGCTGCCAAGGCCAAACTATAAAAAGACCGAATAAATCGACGTGTTGTGCAAACTTCACAAAACCACCGAGGTTTTTTTGAGTAATTTAATGGGATTCATTTTTCTAATCACACATATAAATCACAAGAATCTAAGGAAAGTAAAGGGAATATTTCTTATTTCCTTTTGAGGGAAATTGAAAAAGATCAAATACATCTCTGTCTAATGCATATATATATATATATATATATATATATATATATATTCTTTAAGACAGAACAACATACTAAAAACACTTTCACTGACTAATGTTGGTGGGGCGCTGCATTTTACATTTCTCATTTGATTATAAAAGGTTAAAGTAATTTCACCTTTTTTCTTGCCTCTGCTGCCTTTTGTGTACGTTTTTGTGAGTGGTTTTGACAGCCCAGAAACTCTTTAAATCATACATTCTTGATGGATATTTATCCTGCTCAGGGTCAAACATAATAAAAGGGATTTGTGAACACAAGTTGAAGAATCATCGAGCCTCACAAACATGAATAAACTGACTCGTTGAGGCTCAAAAGTTTGTCATCCTAATACTAAAGTCCATCAGATTTGATGATGGACTCTTAGAGTTGACTTTGCTGCAATATTTTCGTCTGATTAACCACTCAGCATCAAATAATGTTAAACATGCAAAATTAAACAAGTGTCATTTTTAAAATGCATGAAATGAAGAAAGATTTCATTTATTTGTTCATCTGTGTTTTTCTTTTTTATATTAGTATTCGATCCCTAAATGGTCTAAATTAATGTTCATTGATGTGAACTATTAAAAACAATGTACACATGCAACTTATTTTTGCCCATTATAGCTTAAGTGATTTGCAATGTTCCCAGCAGAGTTCATCACATGTTCAAATTTTGTGGACTTTTTCTGTATTCACTCATTTTAATTTTCAGCTTCACCAGTTTTCAGCCAGTGTTGCTACTTTTCATTTGTTTTGATTGATGACAGTTTTAATTGAATCACTGTCTGACTATGAATATTAGTGAGCTGCAATTAAATGTTATAATTTTTTTTTTTTGAGACAAGAAATTTGAAATTGTAAATAAATACATAAAATAAATAAAAACAACACTACTTTGAATTTTGCTGTGTTTAAACTCTTGTATGTTGATTACAGAAACGCAAACATGACTGTCACCTTTGTCCACCTGTATCATATCAATTTCCTGAAGTTTTGGTTAACTGTATTGCAAAAAACAAGAAAAAAAAAAGACTGTAGTGATTGCCAAGTTTCATATTATGCAAGTGGCCACTTTAAAGGATAAAATGGAATGTATCCATTTTATTTTCACTGATAAAAAGCTAAACAACATTAATAATGTAATGAAAATGATTTCAAAGAAAGGAATAATGTTAATTCACAGAGGGGAACACTGGACAACATTGCCAAGTGTCCTCATTAGAGTGTGTGCTTTTAAAGCTGTGATGTTCAGTGCTGGAACCCCACAGGAGATTTGGTCTGATCATCCGTAACAATATGACCACTGACAGATGAAAAAAAACATACATTTTCTGGTCACCTGTCACCTGGAGTCAGCCTCTCCACCATCACAGACATCTACACTTCCAGATGCAGGAAGAGGGCCACCTGCATCATGAAGGACCCCACTCACCCAGCACACACACTTTTTGCCTTTTTCCCTCAGGCAGAAGGTTGAGGAGCATTAAATGTAGAACCACTAGACTGAGGAACAGCTTCTACCCTGAGGCTGTTAAACTCATGAATCCCTAACCAGGATAAATACTGTGGGGAAAAAAATCACTGTAATGCCACTTTAATTGGTGATATGAGTTACCTGTGCTGCTGATCTCATGCTGCTGTATTCATTCTTACCCATCTACTCACACAGACTCATGTTTGGGCTGCTGTTGTTACGCCATATTGTTTTACATTATTAGTATTTAGCATATATCTTAAATCCTTACATACAGTAGTCCATGGGGGTTTGGGACCATGCCCCCACACACCCTGCGATTAGTGATAAAAACACAAAGTAGGGATATAGTAGTCCAAGATCAAGTAAACTATTACCATCTCATGTGGTACATGAAATGGAACAAAATTAAGTTCACAGGTAGTAGTAGTACTAGTAGTAAATAGTAGTTTATTTTAGTATTTTCCGTGATGGTAAGCAGTAGTTTATTTTAGTATTTATATACAGGCATATATAAAGGTGTTTTAAATCTTCCCACATTCTTGCAATGTCCCTAATAATTTTCTAAACTCTAAACGCTCTAAAAAAGCACAGCATGTCATGATCTCAGCTCTGCCTCCGGCTGCACTCTGCCACCTGCCAGTGCTCTTGGCCACGCCCACTACTCCGCTGCAGAGTGGAGATCCTGACATGCTGCAGGAGGAAGCTTCTCCTGCAGCTGTGGGCAACACAGAAGTGCAGCAGGGATGAAATAATTTAAAATAATTTATTTAAAATTAAAATTCCATGTTGATCGTATGGCTCATCCATCAATCAGCCAATTGTGTGTCATGTCCAATCTTACCTTGAAAAATCGCGATAGAGCGAGTCCGCAAAAGTCAAACTGCAAAGTAGCGAGGGACCGTTTCATTTTACACTTTATATTTTTGTTATTTTTGGGTGTAACTGGGACCCTGAATACATACAGTAATTTTGTTTCACCTCATATACCACATGTGATGTGAATGACAATAAACTTTTCAGATGTAATAAAAGCACTGTAGTAGCTCAAATTGGTGACAAAGTTCACGCTGGTTCCTATAGGAAGGCGTCGAACAAACAGTGAGTCAGTTTTGTTGTGAACAAGGCTAAGTGGGATCGCAAAATGATCATCAGACCCTGAGAATGCTCTTCTCCCCAAGTTCTGCAGATCTCCAGTCAGTCAGGTATCTGTGGGATGTGCTGGATAAACGGGCCCAACTTGAAGCATCACTTGATGTGTTGCTGTCAGACACTATTAGACTTTCAAAGGTATACTGTAGTGGATTTTATGCCTAAATATATTGCTAATAATACTGTAATAATAAAAATTTGATGTTTGGTGGAGTTTCATGTTCTCTCCATGAATTCATGGATTTTCTCCGGGTACTCTGGTTTCCTCCCACAGACCAAAAAACACGCATGTTAGTCTGATTGGTAACTCTAAATTGTCCCTATAGGTGTGAGTGGGAATGAATGGTTGTCTCATTTCTCTCTATGCGTCTCTGTGATGGACTGGAGACTTGTCCAGTGTGTCCCCGCTTCTTGCACAGTGACTACTGGATATGAACACCAGTGATCCACGTGAGCCGAAAAGGAAGAAGCAGATAAAGATGACGGATAGATGGATGTTCTAACTACTCTTTGAGTGTGCTCACACAAGACTGGTAGAGTCATGCACAAGAGAAGAAATACAACAAAAAAAAGTGGATATAATGAATAAAACCTCTAGGGAGCACCAATAAATGTTAACTAATCAGGTTTAAATCAGGTTGCCTGTGTTAAAGGCCTACTTCTGAGATTCCAGGCTTGAAGCTGCAATGAAGGCTACCTATATGGAAGTGATCTGGTTGGCAGGCCGCAGACTGATGAAGCATCCTGTATGGAGATGAAATGTTTCTCAAGAAACTGGTCCAGATAACATAATTTAACCTTTTTTGTTGTTGAGGCTGAAATTACTTTAAAACAATAGTATTAAACTGCGAGTCTGTGGATGTCTTGTAACAGGATAAGGTTCAGATTATGGTTTTATATTCAAATCTTTTTTTTTTTTTTGCTTTGTGAGGCTGGTATTAAACATCTTTTTTTAAGTGAATGAGACTATACCATTATCTAGTTCAGACCACAATTTTTTTTTTATTTTAAGTACTGTAGATGGATTTCTGTAATAAAATGTATATTGGTTTGAACAAAGCTGAAATGTGCATAGATGTAAAATTTCAGTTCATCTAAAATTGATACAAAAACATGTTGATTTGAACCAAGCCCAAAAGTCAGAAATACAGCTTTTATTTTATTCTGCGAGAGTTAAAGATATCTGTTGCTTAGACGTACCAAAAATAGCTTATTTTGTGTAACTCGAATCAGAGGAAATTGAAAGTGAAAAATACTGAGCGGAGACTTTTTTTTTTTTCAGGGACAGTGCAACCATTAGAGCAAGTATGTACTGAAGAGAAAAAGGAAACTATTTTCTGCATGAGTTGATTAATGTCCAACCCCCTGGGGACAAGTCTTTTTCCGAACATGATGAAGGGTTATCTTCTTGTCACTAAGCAACCTGTGGATGCAACAATACAGAACACCATCTTTCTCACTTCATATTGAAAAAACATACAATTTGCCCTTTCACTTTATTACCGAGCTGCATGTCCTGGCAGTTCTGCACTTCTCACCTCCCCTCACCCATCTGTCTTTCACTGGTATAACAGAACGTCTTCTTTCTGAACCACCCTACAGGACTTAAAGGCTCTAATGTATGTGAGGAATGTGTGATGTGATTCCAGACATATGACTTTCACCACGTGAGGCCGAGCACAGAACTACTGACCACGAAGACGTGAGATGAACTTCAAAATGAGGTTCAGTTTAAAGGAGTGTGCACATGTTTCAGATCTACTTTCCAAAAGAATAACAAGATTAGTTCAGAGCATGTTGAGCTCATATACAGTAAACATGGGGAAATAAATCACCTTTTTAGACGAGTAATTTAATGCATTTTTTGTCTCCCCTGTACTGAACACTCCCTAGATGGTACTACCGTAAAAACAAAACACCAGCCTGAACTTCTCTGCTTATTAAATTCTCAAATGTATTCTCCGAAATGAGCCTTCGAGCATGCAGGTCTCACCTCACTTCTGTGTTGCTTTCAGGCTCCTGTAGCGCTCATCAGCTCGGAAACATACAACCTGCTTATTTTTATTTTAAATTGAGGAAATTGTTCTCGACTTTCTAAAAACAAACTTAGTTTGAGTTACTCTCTTATTCAAGAAAGATGATGACAGACGACCATAGAAACCTCTAGATCTGCCAGATCAGGGAAACATAGACAAGCATAAATACACTAATGATCTGCCATATCCACAGGGAAACTAGTAAAACTGAACATGTGGTGAAGAGGGAGCTGAGCTGTACTGTAAGGCAAGTCC